AAAAAAAAATAAAGGTTAATATTTTTATTCTTTAATATTCTTTAATAATCTTTAATAATAATAGTAAAAGTAAACTTAACATTAGAAAAGCGGAAAAAATGAAAAAAGAAAAGTTAGGACAGAAAAAGTGAAGTGGAGAGAAAGCAAAATAGCTGAGGAATTTATTTGATCAGTATTATAGTCTTAATTATGTCATCGAACCCAGAAACTTTCGAATCTTTCGAATCAGATAACCTGAGTTTTAAAATTCGAAATTTCAAATTTCAGAAATTTCAGTTATCTTAATTACAGATCAGCATATGCAGCATATGATTATCGATATCAGTTTTTTTTTTCTCCTGAAAAAAAGGTATTTAAATCCCCCACTTTTTTTTCGCTTTTTTTTTTTCTTAATCTCACTTTCTCACTTTTTCTTCATTTTTCCCGTTTTTTCCTTATACCTTATCTTTGAGTTTTTATTACAAATATTTAATCTTTAATTATTTTTTTCTTTTTCACATCTATTAGGACGACGATATTTGAGGTAGGTTTGGAAGAAAGAAACTTTAGAATATTTAGAAGATTTGAAGATTTAGATGTGAGGTGGGTGTTTTCTATTTATTTGTTTGTTGTTTAATGGCGACGTATAGGCCTACACCTGTGCGTCGTCTCTCTATTTGTAGATTTCCTAACGTGAACTGGAAACCAAGAAACGATGATAATTTAATAATGTAAGCATTTTAAAATTATTAATATCATAGGAAAAACGGGAAAAATTCATTTATTTGATGTTTATAGATGCATATTATTTTATTTGATGTATATCAGATATAATAGTATATTATTTTATTTATTTTTTTGACATTTGTACAATACAATATAAGAATAAATACATATCATATTTTTTAAGATGTACATTAAAAATCATAAGTTTATTTTCTAATGTTCCTCTTCGCAACTTGTTTTATTTGAAAAAATAGACCCCCGGGTCTAGGATAGTATCCTAAACTGGGGTCTAAGGTTAAGGATCCTCATTTCTTAATTATATAAACGCGTCTTTTTTTTTTCCTTTTTTTCATTTTTTTTTCAACTTTCTTTCTTAACGACAAATTATAAGCGTGAAAATAATTTATTGTTATATTTTCCCTTTTCCGCTTTTTTATTCTTTTGCTCTAAGTTTTATAACTTCTAAATAATAATATTATAATTTCTCTTCTTTTAGTTATAACTTTGTTGACTATATTTCATTGATCTCATAAATAAATAACTGTAGAAAAATAAGGCATTTATTCTATTTATTTTTGTTTTGTTTTTTTTTGTTTTTCTTCTTTTGTTACAATAACTGTTAGTGCAATGAGGTATGAGTGTCAAAGTAAGGAGTAACAAGGATGCCTTGATGCCGTTTGCATGTAAGAAGTGTAAACAATGACTCAAGTTATTGAGTTGGTTGGCTGCAAAGCTAGTTTGCAGATGGGTTGCCCTTGTTTGCGCGTAATATATACTTGTATATACTTGTATATATTACCTTCATGAGTGCCAAAGTATTTTCTGTTCTGTGCTACCAGTTCGTCTTGATGTCTATTCATTTACCAGTGCCAAAGTGTTCGTAGTTTCACCAAATATGAAGGGAAAGTATTCCAGTGGTGCCTGAAATCAGCTGAAGGAGGAAGCAGTGATAAATTAAATCTTGGATATTGTTATGACAATGGGATTGGAACTATAAGAAAGATTCCTGGAATTATTTCAAAAAAAAAAGCAAGGCGAAAAAGTAACTTAAATAGTCGATTTTACATTTATTTTCTTCATTTACATGTGTTAGTTATTCTACGTTAATTATATTCTAGAATTCTTCTAGTGTTATTTCATGTATTATTTCATGTATTAAAGCGAATTAGTTATTTCAAAATAGTAATTTATTTTAATGATAATAAAAAAATAAAAAGTTATTACATTTCGTACGTGTGTATTTTTACTTTTTGTTTTTCCTGACTTTCGGTTTCATAATTCAAGACAAATATTAACTTCTATTCTTTTTCACATTGTGGATAACAAGGATATTAGAACAGATAAATGAATACCAATATTGCAGGACAGTCATGAGCCAGTGTGTATTACTAACCCTATCTTAAGTTATTTTTTATTAAACACTAATATCAATAATGCATAATCGTTTATCTTTCATATAAAATACATTTATTAAATATTTATTTATTAAATATTTAATTTAAGAATGTAAAAAAAAATAAATTTATCTCGTCAATAAAGAAGGTGTTGCTGATGTGAATTTTTTTTTTTATTGGTTTCTTTGATTTTACATATGTTCAGTCGTGTTTATTAATTTTTTTTTTTTTATAAAATTTAACAAATACAATCTTTGTTTAAACATTCGATATATATACAGTATATATATATATATATTATAAATATATGCTCTTTTTATCTTTCCCAATTTTACAATCAATTTAACGCAATTCGCGTGATTACAATAGTTTGATTATTGTTATGCAATCTAAAGTATTAAAAAATAAATTTAAAATAGAGTTGGTAATCCATATTGGCCATGAACACACTGCAACATTCATTTATCTGTTCTAATATCCTTGTTTATGATAAAACAACCGTTCCGTTACAATTTGATCAGATTGTCACACTTACAACATCTACATATCTTTAAAGTGAGTTCAAATGTCCAGGGTAATGGATTCTGCAATCAGAATAATTATCAATAATTTTTACGTAATTAAGGTATGAATATTTCAGTTGACAATGCAGAGTTTGCACGGGTAAAGTTTCGATACATGCGGAATCTTTGAAATATTTTGACTCCATAGATAATTTAACGAAAGCGCGGAAATGGGACTTGTTTTTGGAGGTGGACGATTCTTTAGGTGCTTCCTCAGTTGCCATCTTTCGGTATATGTATACCTGTTATCGCTGAAAATTTTGCCAACATTTCTCTAACAAAGCTCACTTACATTCGCAATATCTTAACCCAACTTGAATTGATATTACGTCCGAAACTTAGTACATTTCCATAATAAATTATGGGTATTGGTATATATTCTTTAAAAAGAAATTATTCATTTTGATTAAAAACCATTTGTTTAGCAAATTCAAGAGTATATCAAACATTACCTACACAATGCAAGCACCATATATTATACTTATTTACTTTATTAAAACATTCATACCATTTATGACCTTTGAAAATATAAAGTAAAAGAAGTATCAGACTAAGGACTCATCCTTGTAAAATAGCACTGAATGTCAAACCTCTACTCTATCAAATAAACATATTTTTCATTTATCAAGTATTTCTTGAGCTTTTTTTCTTCTTCATGTCATATCAAATCCAAGTTCAGAATTTACATCTCTCAAAGTAGTAATACCTATTGTAATTCAAAAAAAAAAGTGGCATAATTAAAGAAGTTGCAACTAATTACACCATATGTCTTAATTAATTGTCTTAATTTATTGTGTCACTTTTTTTGAATTACAACAGGTATCATTAGACATAATCAATTAAATAATTATGACAGGTATCTTTATCTCAAAAATCTTTATTATAAGATCCAGCATTTTTTTCAAATCCTTTTTTTTTCTTTTATTTCTGTAAAACACAATAAATTTTTTATATTGTGTAATATCTCTGATGAAAACAGGATCAAAAAGTAAAAAATGCATGTGACTTTTTCTTCTATCCTTTGATCAAGTTTAAATAAACTAACATCAAATAAACCAATCACTACCAAAGGTTCAGCCTTTTATGACAATGTCGAACTTGTGAAAAGATCTCGAGAAATTGTTGCCTGGTAATAAATTCGTTCATGTTTCTTGAGAATGTCTAATCTCTCGTTGTGTCTGTAATTGATGTCGGCCAGGGTTAAAGCTTCTCCCAAATGAGTTTCTTGAGTTCCAATTTCAATTGAAAAATCTTTAATCTGTCCCACAATGTAAAGCCTGGAGTGAGAATGTAATTTGTAAGAACTTTTTTTTAGCAAATTTATCTATTATTAATAGGTTGCACGTTCCTGTCTTACATAGAATTTTAGCACACGTGATATTCGTCACAAAAATATCATTTAATCGGAGAGAATTCGTTTCTTTCGTTCAACTAAGCAAATTCTAAATTCAAACAACCGAATTTTCGATTCGCATCTATAGATGTCTTCAGAATCATCAATTTCCAATTCCCAAACTCCTACTAATCAAGTGCAGGCTCATAGAGGAGGTCATCATAACAGTCAACGTGGTGGTCAAACTGGTAGACGTCCGTATCGTAGAAGAGGTCAAGGAAACTACCATTTCAATAATGCAATCTCAACCCAACAAACCCAAGAAGATCAAAGTATAGAAATAAAAGTTGAAAATCCTCCTACTTACGATAACGCTTGTTTTATTTGTGCTGAACCGATTATTTATTACGCGCTTGCTGATTGCAACCACCGCACTTGTCACCTCTGCACCTTGAGGTTACGAGCTTTGTACGAAAGTAAAAATTGTGCTTACTGTAAGGTATGAATAAAAAATTATTTCTTTAAATCAATTAATTTTAAGAATTATCATGATAATTTTTTTTTTTTTTATATTAAATAAAATTTAAATTTTTTACTTAAATCAATTCCTGGAATATCATAAATATTTTTTTATAGACCGAACAAACCAAAGTCATCTTCACTTACGATGCTGAAAAATCTTTTCAGGAATATAAGGATTCTGATATTCCTTTTAGGATTGAAGATTTAAATATATTTTGTGAAGATCAAAGAATATATGAAGATACTTCAATTATATTGGGATTAAATTGTCCTGATGAGAAATGTGAAACAACGTGTAGAGGATGGTCAGAACTTAAAAGACATGTAAAAAATATTCACAGGATGTGGCTCTGGTGAATTGATTTTCTAATCCCTGTTATAAGAGATGAAAGAATTTTTCTTTAAATTTTTCTCTCTCTCTCTCTCTTAAATTTTTAGCGATCTTTGTATTCGATACAAAAAAGTCTTTACACATGAACATGTTCTTTACACTAGACACGAACTTGAAAAACATATTGAAAAAGGGGATAAGTCTGGATTCAAAGGGCATCCAGAATGCGAATTTTGTAAAACAACATTTTACGATGATGATGAACTTTACGAACATTGTCGGGATAATCACGAACAGTGCTACATTTGCTTGAGGAACGGGATAAGACATCAATACTATCTTGATTATAATTTATTGGTAATTAATTATTAAATGGGTGGATTAAGACTTTATTTCTAATAAAAAAAAAGAGAGAGAAAAGAAATATTTATTTTCTTATTACATGTAATTATCACAGGAAACCCATTTCAAAGAGGATCACTATCTTTGTCTTCAACCAATATGTTTAGAAAAAAAATTTGTTGTTTTCGAAAGTGATATCGATTTGAAGGCACATGAAGTAAGTTAAAAAAAAATCATGCATTATTTTTTAATAAAATTTAATTTCGATATTTAATAAATAAATAACATTTATTTTTAGGTAGAAGAACATGGGTTAAGAAAGTATGATGCAAGAAGAATTGAAGTGAATTTTTATTTTGATGATGATTCTCCAAGGAGAGGTTATCAGAGAAGACGTGAAGAAACGGTACGAAATGGAAATAAAGCAAACATGATTTATTTTGTAGTTATAGGATTAAAAATAAATATTACATTTTTATATATATATATATGTATATATATAGTTGGGGAGTAGAGGAGATGATGACGACGGAAGAGTTAATGAAGACGTTGCAAGGCAATTTCAGCAAAACCTTAATATAACGGAATCAAATAGTAACGGGAATGTTAGTAATACAAGAATTATAAGACCTCCACCAGGATTTGGGAACTTAACACCCGATGAACCACAAATCTCTCCCCCAACTTCTCGTTCCCGGGAAACTCGAGAACAAGATCAAGCCAAAGTTTTTCATAAGGAAGAATTTCCCACCTTGAGTGACTCGATGAAGACAACAGGAAGTAGTAATGGATCTACTACCAATTATAGTGAAAGAGCAAAAGCTGGTCATTCAATGTCACAAAGCCGGCCTAGTAATGCAAAGCGTGAAACGGTTAATAAAGGAAAGGCTAAAGTTGTCCTCCCTTCACAACCATCAATAGCAGAAACCAGTAGTAATGCATCATTGAAAGGAAAAACTACAAGTTTAATAAATCAACAAGAATTTCCTGCTTTACCTTCTTCCTCTAGTAGTTTTTCTTCCTATAGTAATCACGTTTCAAAAGCAAAGATAAATACTAGAAACTATGAAAATAGGTATTATTATTTAATTATTTTTTTCGTTAACATGGTTTTTTGGAATAATAAACATTTCTTAAAATAAAAAATTGAATATTTCAGTCGACAAGCGGCATTCTTTCAACGCGTCAGTTCATATTTATCATATAATCAATCAAAAATCGAGGAGTATAATTCATTGACCAGTTCATTTAATGATGGAGCTATAGATGCATCGTCATATATTGAATTTTTATTTATGCTATTTAATAAGAATTACGATACTGTAGGAAAAGTAATTTCCGGTTTTGCTGATCTGTTAGATAATGAATATAAGAAGAGAGACCTGTTAAGAGCTTTACAGGATCGCAAGGCTACGGCGGTAAATATATTTTAAATATATATAACCTATATTGTACGCTTTGGATAATAACCCAATTGACATTTTTTATTCAATAGAGAAAAGAGAGGGAATTTCCAGCTCTAGAACCTACAAGTTTGTCTACTAGTTCGAATAACATTACCAATCAATTCGTTTCTAATAGAGGACCACGTGTTCTTGTGATAAAATCTTCAAGCACAAGATTTGGTGGGACTCGACCCACAAATTCTCAAGTATTGGAAAAAGTCGCCGCAGCTGCAGCTCCTGTGAGAAATCAAAATTCAACATCGGCATCAGCATCAACGTCAACATCAGCATCAACATCAACATCCACATCATTAGCTACTAATGCATGGAAAGGGTCATCACCACAATTTGTTAAGTCTATTGCTGGAAGTTCTTCATCTTCTCCTTCATCTTCTCCTTCCCAATCTTCTTCCTTCCCTTCTACAACCATTACTGGATTTGTTAAAGGTAAACCAAAAAAAATTAAAAACACAGATGATTTTCCAGAATTGCCATCTACAACATCAAAACAACGAGTGACCAATAATGGAAAAATAAAAAGTGCATGGGGTAATGGTGGCGCATTCACTATTGCTAATAATGATAAGGATCAAGAAACTTGTAGTGATGAAGAAGTGGATAATGATATGAGCAACTATTTGGTGAACGATTATGTGAGCAATGATGATATGAGCAATGATGTGAGCAATGATGAGGGTAATAAAAGGAAACAAAAGAAAAAGCAAAAAACAGTTTTATTTCATGTTGGTTAAAATAATAATTTAAATAATAATTTAAATAATAATAATTTAAATAATAATTTAAATAATAATAGTTTAAATAATAATTTAAATAATAATAGTTTAAATAGTAATTTTAAGCAATAATTTAAGTAATTTAAATAATAATTTGATTTACTTTATTGATGTATAGAAGTGAATAATTTTTGGTGGGTTTGGTCTTTAATTTGGTCTTTAATTTGATCAAAGAAGAAAGAAAGATTATTTTATTTTATTTATTTGTATAACAATGCCAAGTTTATGAAAATTATTATAATAATTGTTATAATAATTGTTTTTGTACAAAGGTGAAAAAATTTAAAAATTCATTTTTCTTTATCATTAAAATAATTAAAAAAAATTTAATAAATTATTTATTTTTATAATTATAATTATAAAAAAAAAAAAAAACTCTACTTTATATATATATATAAAATATTTGCTGTTATTATTTATTAATCTCTATTATTATTTTTATTATTATTTTTATTATCTACAACTTTATTATTTTCAATTATTTCATTCATTTCAACTTTATCATTTGTTTCATCATCATAATCATTATTATTATTATTAGATCCACTTCCAACAGGAATATAATCTTTTCTAGGAACATCAGGTTTACTATACATATAAGTAGCAATTAATACGAGGACAGAGCCGATTACGAAATTGGTCGTAACCTCAAATGCAAAAATATAAACTGAAGCGATAAACGAAAGAATAATGGAAATGGAAGTAGAAAATCCTTTTAGAATATTATCTGCATATTTAACAACTAAAGCTACTATTATACCACCAATAGCTTGACATGAAATTGCAGCTATTACCACAGCATTATAACCAAAAAAGAATCCTTTTTCCCATACATCTAATCCATCTTTTAACCAAACTCCCAAAATTAATGCAGGAAATAATGAAAAAAAAGAAAGTTGAATATTACGTATCCATAAAGATGATTGAGTACCTTTAAGAACTTTTTCAAAATATACTCCTGCAATACCCGAAATTACACATGCTACAGCAACTGCTCCTAAACCTACGAATCTTTCCATATCTAAATCTTCATCAATTATTTCATTTTCGGTTTCAGATTTCGTTTTAGACATTTGAACTAATGCAACACCAAAAGTAAGTAAAACTAATGATAACCATTTAATTAGACTTAAAGATGTTTTAAGCATAATAACTGAACATAAAGCCGTTGTTAAAATTTTAAGTTGATAAGTTACTTGAAAAGTCGCTGCATCCAATAAACTAACTGCAATATATTGCAAATTATTTTGAATCGTATATAAAGCAGCTGGTATCATTAATTTCCATGCGTCTGATGTAAAAACTTGATTATAAAGTTCTATAATACTCCATTGACCTGTTTCAACCATTTGATTTCTGATAGCTACATAGAGACAGATTATAAGTTTTGTTAACTCTGATAAAAATACTGCTGTAGAGGTGAAATATTGATTTTCTCTATCCTCTATAACTCGTGAATATCGCATTACGATTACTAAAGTACTATTCTGAATACACAGAATTATCAAACTAATATATTTTAAAGGTATCCCAAACATGGTTGGAGTGGAAACCATAATTAAAATTATATTATTCTATATTTTTTGTTATTAACACAATGATAATGGTGAAAATTGAGAAAGGTAAAATATAAGAAAAATATAAAAAAAAAAAATAATTCTATTGAGTGATTGTAACGATTGTGCATTTTTTTTAACTGCGATATTTCTATGTGATATCCTCACGTGCTATCAAAAAGATGTGAACTTTTCATTTGGTTATTGGTGTATTGTATTAAACCGTGTAACTAAAGAAGTATGAAAGATTTCTAAATCTCGTATATGATCTCCACTATCTGGTATATTAATATTTTATTTTATGCATATGTCCAACAATGGGGATTTTCTTTAGATGTGATAGTTAAAATTTTTCATTCGAAGGGAACTTTAACTTACAAATATATCAATAGCATAAGCATACATATACCGGAATTTTCACTAGATATATCTATCTATATTTGAAATTTATTTTGCAAAAAAAAAAAAAAGACAACAATCGGTGTTGCTGTCCCAAACTGTGCAAATTCTGCCCTTAAAGGTCCCGGATTTAAAAGATAAAGAGAAAATCTTCAAATTCAGATACCTATTCCAAAAATAAAAATAGCAGGAAAGTCTTTGTAATTTCCCAGGCAAATCACACAACTTTTCTCATAACCTTGACCCCACATCATTTATTCCATCTCCCCCCCAAAAAACCGGAACCACAAAATATCGCATTCAGGATTACATAATCTTTTAATTTGTTTTTAATTAATGATGCAAGAATTTTGTTTACCCATATCAATTTATGGAACAGAATTGCATCTAGAAAGTTCCTAAAGTAGAATAACAATTCTCCGAAGTCCATTCACGTAAGCTATAGCTATAAATATGGGGGAAATGTTGAATTGGAAACCGATAAGCATTTTTATTATAAATTTCCTTTTTAGATTGTGATTTACCTTATTTATTGATTTTTTTTTTTTTAAAAAAAAAAAATAAGTGAACGGAAAAATGCCTGATGTATGCACAGAATGCAATGATTATTGGTGCCGTGCCACTCAACACATTTCAAAAATGATTTGATAAATGGACAAGCGGAAATGATACATTCGATAAATTTATTCAAGATACTCGACGAAATGTTGATTATTATAAAGTAATAGAATGGATACCTTATCATAGATTTCAGATATTAAACAAATGGCAAAAGGTGGTTGTGATACTATTTATTATGCTACGTGGATTAATGGATTTATTCGAGATTGGATTATTAAAAATCAACAATGGAAAAGAAAAGGTCAATTTGAAGTGTTTTTAAAAAAAGTTTGATAGTTAATGAGATAAAGTAATATTTTAAATTAATATAATTAATATGGAAATAATTTATTTTAAATATAATATATTAATTCTAATTTAAAAATATGTTATTTAGATGGCAATTCACTTGAGAACAAAGTGATAATAAAATAACATAACTACACTTTTTGAAATTACAAAAACTCACGGATATATGATGGCTTTACAATATTATAAAGGTGGAATTCTTAGTAAAAATAATAATTTTAATAATATCAATTGGGATGTTAAATTATCACATTTATCCAAATTATCTAAGAAATTCGTCAGTTAGATATAGTCATTGTGATTTCTTTTCGAAAATATTTTTTAAAAGTAATTTGGAAAACAGTTGAAATCAGATTTTGGATTGAGTAAATTAATTAGAACTTCAGTATTAAGTGGGGAAATGTTTTATTCATTTACTTATATGAAATGACCATTGAACTTCACCTATGATATGTCACATGATAAATATTTGGCTTTTAACACTATCCCTTAAACGGTAAATCATGTGAATTGCGGGCAAATTTATTAGTAACTTGTGACGTCACTACCGTTTAGGCTATTGAATTTAGTCGGACAGTTAAAATTATGAAAAATTGGAATTGAGTCATACATAATTAATGCAATTATTTGACACAATTATATCAACACAATTAAATTTCAGTAATTGAGTCAAAGGCTTTTTACTTTTGATGACATGTATAAATTACATATTAATCTACTTTAAAAGTTAGAAAAATACTAGGATTTATGAGAAAAATGATTTTGACAATAATAATAAAATTACAATTCAAATTAAAGAAGCTAAAGAATTTTTCAAACAGCTGAAACAACAATTATAACATCAACAAATTATAAAACATATTCAAGTAATTTATACTTTCAATTTTTAAAATTTTAAAAATAAAGAAAATTTTGAAAAAAAAAATTGAAAAATCTTTTTATCAAATAAATGTTAGTAAGTAGTAATTTTATTGTCTGGAGCAAAGAACACTATTTCTATGCACTATGATAAATTTCTGGTTACAGGTGTTTCTCTACTCTTATGTGATAGTGACCTAATGAAACTACATTTCTTATTTTTTAGATTATTTTATTTTATTGAATAATTTTTTAGATTATCATCAGAAAATTTTATAAGGTGGAAACTTGCAAAAGTTTGCACAAGTTTCCAAAGATGTCAAAAATTTCCACAAATTTTTGTGCGTTTTTTTTTTATTTTTTAACTTCACTTGTAATTTTCAAAGCACAAAGCGATTTTTTACTAAAGTGTTTCTAAGATAGATAGAACGGCCTTGTTCTTGACTACAATATGATATATATTTCATTCTTGTAACATCGATATTCACGAAGTTATTTCGGTTTAAAGAAAGAACATCGTGAAAAAAAATTGTGTGAAAATTTCTAGAAACTTGTGAAAATTTTTGCATTACACAGATACTCTTTCTTTAAACCGGAATAACTTCGCGAATATAGATTCTACAAAAATAAAAAATACATTATTTTGTAGCCAAGAACAAGACCGTTCTATCTATCTTAGAAACACCTTAGTAGAAAATCACTCTGTGCTTTGAAAATCGCGAGCAAAGTTAAAAAACAGAAAAAAATACACAAAAATTTGTAGAAATTTTTGATACCTTCAGAAATTTGTACAAATTTTCACCTTGTAAAATTTCCTGATGATGGTTTATAAAATAATAACAGAATTTTATGGATTAGAATTTATATTTGAATATAAATTAATAAAAAAGTAACAGAGTTTTAATATAAAAGATATAAGTTTATTATAAAAAAAATCAATAATCTAATTACTTTAGGATTATAAAAATATTAATTCAATTATAGAATTAATGTACAGTTGAGATTACTTTCTAAATTTCACTATTTAGAACTATTCAAATCTTATTCAAAACTTATTAAATCTCTTTTGGGATAAATAAAAAATTTACCTTTTTTATTATATTTAATTTGACCAGTAAGTTGATCAGTAAGTTGATCAGTAAGTTGGTCAAAATCTTGGCTAGTAATTGTGCCAATCAGTTGGTCACTAAGTTAATCAAATCAGTTGGCCACTAAATTGATCAGTAAATTGGCTAATAACTAAATCACTATGATCTATATTATTGATTTACATAATTCATATTATATTAATAAATAAATACTAATTATACTAATAAAATAAATACAAATAAAAAATAAAATAAAATAATAAGAAATTATTAAAGTGGAGAAAACTCATGGTAATACTATAATAGAAACTATTTCATATTAATTTTTTTTTAATAAAGATATATAATATAAAGTATAAATTTCATATGATATTATATAATTGTTTAATTATTACTGTGTAATTTTCAATTGCCATTTTTTTCTTAATGCACTATATATATATATATTTAATTCTTTATCATAGAGATTATATATGTTCCCAAAATTAATTTTGTATTTTTGAGGTATTTCGACTTTTTAAGATTTATGAAGAATCTATTTTATATATGGAAATAAATAATTTTACGTGTAAGTATAGTAGAAATATATAATGAAATTTTAGTATCACTGAAAAATGTCAGAGTAGAGCTCATTGTTTTACAATAGAAAAAATTGTTAATAATATTAACGATTATTGATCACTTTTGTCAAGAAAAATTTTCAATCATATATGTAATTAATATATATCGAAATTTCAAAATACACATGTAAAAATAAACACAATTAATAATATACTATAGTTAATTTTATAAGTTAAAAATCTATATCAGGTATATAGATCTATATTGGATATAAAAATCCTTGATGCATATATAACCTCGCATATACGTGTTGCCCAAATTCCAAATCATTTGAGATTTGGGATGCCAAAATCCCAAATTACTAGTATTTGGAATTTGGGATTTGGGATTTCGGCAAAAAATACTAATCATAATTTGGGATTTGGGATTTGGGATTTTGGCATTTGGGATTTCAGCATTTGGGATTTCGGCATTTGGATTTTGAATTTGGGTAACAGGTATAACCTCGCACAAAAAAATAATATATAATATAACTAATTTTTTATTTAAAATATATTTATATAAAAAATAATTCATATTAATATGTACCAATTCTTTATTAATATACTGTGTATATAGGCATGTCCAATAAAATATATAATAAAAATACATAATAAAAAAATAAAAAAACAGATTAATCTGAACAATGTACAGGACATTCTATATATGAAGGTAGATCATTGTTATTGTTATCACCACTATCACTATTGTTAAAAAAATCAAAATCATCATGTGTTAGTTATCATAGTGATAGTTGTCATAATAGTTATGATGATAGTTATAGTTATAATAATGGTTTATTTTTTTTTGATATTTTTTAGTTACACAACTACAATTATAGCTAAAAGGATTAAATCTTCTTGTGTGAAAATTATATGTTAGTGGCAGTGTTGATATTGTTATTGTTAATATTATTATTACTGCTGATAATAAAGATGAAAAAGAAAAAGATGATGATAATATTGTTATATTATTATTATTGTTGTTGTTACTATTATTATCTTCATTGACATTAACAATATTACTACTATTGTTATTATTATTGTTATTATTATTATTTTCATCATTATTGTTATTTTCATCATTATTATTGTCATTATTACTATTACTATTATTATTATCATTAACCCATTTTTTTTTTTTCAT